CTGCACTGGAATAGCATTTCAGGAAGAAATCTGCTCTGTGGAGTTTGTAGCTGTACAGCTCTGCACAACTTCCATGCCGCATTAATTCCCCAGAAAAAGATGGCAATGGCCAACATCGTTGTTATTCAATCCGTGCCCTCCAACAGCACCCTCAAGAGAACACAGCCCAAAAGTGGAGGTACAGTGCCTGCCCTTCCCTGTGTTAAGCTCTTCAGATGGAGTGAGGCAGGCTGATGCAGTAAGAGCGGATCTCACCTTCTTCTCTACACATTTCACTTGCTGCACTTTTAGAGAGGAGACAAGAGGAGAAGCCTGATCAACAGGATTCATATGCCAAGCATCCATAAGAGTACAACAAACCTCCAGTTGATTAGCACACCACAGAGACCTGAATTGAGAGACCGGGGTGGTCTTTTCATGGCCTATTTGAAAGAATTTCTTGGCAATGGTTCCAGCAATGGACTTTATTCAGCACTGTTGGCTAGAAAACTTGCTGGAGTCTCCAGACAATCTTATAACCCTTTCACTTCACAGACTAATTTAAAACAGTTGTGTGTATGTGGTGACTGGCAATAAAACACAGAAAAATCACAGACTAGAGGAAGTATAGGCTTTGTGGGTTCCTCCCTAGGTCCCACCCATCACTGACACATCTGGGAGACAAAAAGGATGAATGACAGCATGGGCTATGTTTCAGCAGTGTCATACACTGTGAACCCGTGGCAAATTAGCTCTAAAATTCCTAGAGCAATCGACATTTACCTTAGATAAATGTCGTGGCCAAAGTGAAGGCGGCTGTTTATAAAGGGATGTGAATGTTTATGCTACTAGATTTATAACTAGGTACTTACAGTGAACAGCTGTTAAAGAATATATTGGGAATAAACTGAAATTACTCAGCCAGGTCTTAAAACTTGCATGGTATTTTTTGTAATTTTATTTTTGTTTGGTTGGCAGCTAAGTCCTTAATATCAGAGTTGATTCCCTATCTGCTTATTGTTTAAATTGTATTTGATTCAAATATCTGTCACCCGTATCTCAGAAATTAAGATTTTAAGCTGGAAAACAAGTATTTCAAGATGAAACCACCTCCTCCAACAACAAGTCCTCTTGCATAAAGCTACTTCATAATTTCTAAAATTTCAAGAACATTTATTTGATAAATATAGTATTTTCTTGGATAAATCTAAACAGTTGCACTTGCAAATTATGTACAGTCTCACATAGGTGAGCAAGGACTTTTTCTTTGATTGATGCTGTCTCTCTTTAATTAATGTAAAAGTCAGTCTTTATCTATGTGACAGATACTCTATTAACTGGCAAGAAAATTTAGCATGAAAAAGCATTGGAACAGAAAGGATTAACAGAGTTAAATTTTGCCTGTACCACTTTAACTATAAAAGAATTAATGCTGAAAGAACCATAATGACCTGAGAGTTCAAGGACATTTTGTTTCCAGAGTGTAATTATTGTAGCAACGCCAGCCATGGTAATGGATCACTTAGCATTGTATAATTTTTCTTTGAACTAAATCCTTCATGGAACATAAAACAGCAAAAGAGAAAAAGTGTTACCTTGGCTTGTGCTAAGTCAAAATGCCTGATGAACTTGTAGACTTTGGCAATTAAGACAGATGTAGGCGCTTTGTAGACTGCCAAGAATCCATATAGTATTCAACACAGAGTAAATAATATCAGCAACAAATAAATAACAAATCAGGTAGTTACCTAGAAGAAAAACAAAACAAAACAAAGCAAATCCACAGAAGAAACACAGAAGAAACAAATGACAGGGTCAAAGACATTGAATTTACTTCTTAAAGTGCAATGGGAAGAAAATTATGACTGGGCCAAAGTCCATGCCGTAATGTAGAGGGGCAAATTCTACTTGCTTTGTGAGGGGACTGGATGCCAGCTGTCAGTTCTGCTGATGGAAGTAATTATGCCCAGAATATTTTTGTTTGGCCATAATTCTTCACTTTTACGCCTAAGGACGGGCACTAAGTTTGTTTTTAAATGGGAATAAATGGCTTCCACTAGCAATTCAACTTTCTGCATTTGAAGCATCTCCCAAGTATATGCAGACATATAAAAGCTTAGGGGAAAAAAAAAAAAAAAGGTATGTGGAATAACTGCCTGAATTTTTCCATGCCACGGAACAGGTATGGAAAATTCTGGTCCACAGCAATCTAGTAGTTACAGACTGAAAAAACACCTGAATCCCACTACAGTACCATGACAACTAAGCAAGTCTTGGTTACACTGGCTGGCGAAACTGTTCTCATTAAAGGTTGCGTTTTCCTTATATATTTCACTCACACAAACTCATAAAGCTTTATACTTCCCACCTGAAGATATTTACTATGGAATCAGTGAGACCCAAGAAGCCAGTTACCTACCTAGATGTCTTTCACAGACTCATAGAATGGTTTGGGTTGGAAGGGACCTTAAAGATCATCAAGTTCCACGCCCCTGCCATGGGCAGGGACACCTCCCACTAGACCAGGTTGCTCAAAGCCCCATCCAGCCTGGCCTTGAACACCTCCAGGGATGGGGCATCCACAGCTTCCCTGGGCAACCTGTTCCAGTGCCTCACCACCCTCGTAGAGAAAATTTTCTTCCTAATGTCTACTCTAAATCTACCCTCTTCCAGTTTGAAGCCATTCCCCCTCATCCTATCACTACATGCCCTTGTAAAAAGTCCCTCTCCAGCCTTTTATGAACCTGCTATTCAGACTAGAGTGAAATGTAAGGCTCAGCTTAAAACTTAACGTGTTACTCTCAAGACTTCCTTTTTCTATGCAAAATCAAAATAGAGAAACTTTATTTTTATTCTATAGAAATCAAAGTCAAGCAGGTACAAACAACATCCTAAAAAGAGCAGATGCCCCAAAGAGAAATAGATTTTTGCCTTCAGTGCAAGAAAAACATAGTAATATTGGTTACTCTATTACTACTTATTGTCATTGTTTCACCTCAGAAGAACTGACTGAAAGAACTCATACTAATTAAAATACTGTTTGAAATAATTGAATATTAAAATGTTACTTGAATTTCATGTACTATTACACTGAAAAAATGAAGTTAAATAATTGTAGACTTCAATTAAAATGCATGAGGGCTGTGAATATAGATGGTATAGCAACAATCAAGAGGTAATAAATGCTTTGAGAATCTTCAGTATTTTTATTGAAAAATACAACACCTGGCAGTCATGCAGTGTTTATTATTCTAAGTGACAATCAACATCAAGTCACAAATTATACACATAAATACAGAACCCATGCTGTGGAATAAAGTTTAATCCTGCATTAACATTACATTTCCTCTTTAAAGTTCTCAGAAAAAACAAACTCATTTTCAGCGTCAAGTTGTCACTAGCAATTAGTTATCTTTGGAAAGCTAAAAATACAATTTATAGAAGGACGAACTTATGCTGATGAACTGCACCCCCAAGCGGATATTCTCCTGAGCCATTGGGCCTACTGGCTTTTTGCCAGCCAGGAAGCACGAAAACTGGAAATTTTCGCAAAACATGCACGCAGAGTCCTTCAAAATACACAAGTATAAGGAAAATTAAGAATAGTATTATTGAAGAAAACTATTGGCAGCTTGGAAATTCTGAACTACTTGCAATGGACTGCTGTTTAAGCACAATATTCCTCGCTTTTTGCACAGCACCTCCGAACACCGAGGTGAGCTTAGGCGTGCGTACTCGCCCATCTGGATTTAGCGGCGGTGCTGTGCCCAGGCAGCCAGCCTCAGGCCGGG